TACATCCAGAACATGAACAACAGATCTATACATCCAGAACATGAACATGAACCACAGATCTATACATCCAGAACATGAACGTGAACATGAACCACAGATCTATACATCCAGAAAACTCGTCTTTAACATGATGTGACAAAACAGGAGGATGAACACATGCAGAAACATCCTGTATGAATATTCTGTTTGAAGCACACTCTTCTGCAAGTCTTGGTAAAAACAACAGTTTGTTACATTTGTAGGCACTTTGTTTTTTCTTTGGGGAGAATATTTTGAAAAGTCCAGCAAATGATTCTTAGAAGAAATGATTAGTTAGGGCTGAGGTCAAGGAGTGTATCTGCAGAAGGTTGCACCTGGTTCATCGTGAACAGCTGGACACTTAAAAGAGATTGAATTTTGTAGGTTCTTCCAACTTTACACCATATCAAATTATTATGACAGAAACCATCCATCCATCCATCCATCCATCCATCCATCCATCCATCCATCCATTATCTTTACCCGCTTCTTCCTTTTTGGGGTCACTGGTGCTCATATCCAGCAGTCACTGTGTGAGAGGTGAGGGACACCTGAACATGTCTCCAGTCCATCACAGAGACACTTGGACATGTCTCCAGTCCATCACAAGGACACAAGGAGACAAACAACCGTTCAGTCTCTCTCTCTCCCCTAGAGACAATTTAAAGTTACCAATCAGTCCAACATGCATGTTTCTGGTCTGTGGGAGGAAACCAGAGTACCTGGAAAAACCCATGCAGCACGGAGAGAACATGTAAACTCCCCCCAGAAAGGTCCTCGGCCGGGATTTGAACCGGTGACCTTCTTGCTGAGAGGCAGCAGCTCTACCAACTGAGCCACCGTGCCGCCTTGACAGAAGCCAAAGAAAGGTGAAACTACAGAAGTCTGAAACATAAATGTGTTCATCTATAAGGGTGACGTTGTGCTGCATCTTGGCAAATATTTTTTGTGTCATGCGTATGTAGAAATGATCCTAAATTTAATAAACAGATGTTTAAGCAGAGTAAACAATTCTGCACTCGTTATAACCAGTTTTTAGAGCAATCTTGAACACGCCTCAAAATAAACGAACAGACTATCTTTGTCTGAAAGCATCAACGTTCAAAAGCAGTTAAAGTAAACTTCACCTTTTCTTGAAATATGAATGCACAACTTTATCAGCAGGTGGGCATTTTCACACAATGGTACAAAACATTTGAAAAATAAGAATTAAAATAATGTTTAATAATTTTCTTCATAATTATCTCTCTTCCCAATAATTCCTGTTGGTGAGTCAGGACATTCCTTCCATGAAGTAGCTGACTCATTCTGTTTAGTTCATTCATACGTTCCTCTTGATGGGCTTCCTTTTGACGTAAATGGATTCAAGGGTAAGCCCAACACCCCACTCAGTCCACTCCCATTAACAGAGCCTGTCCACCGCCGCCCACACACACCATTAATACCCAAGTGACAGTTCCACACACTGACGTGATTCTTCTTCACAAACAAAACCTGCCGGCTGTGATTCATCTTGTCATGAGTCAAATATTCATGAGCCGTGGAAAAGTTTAGCTTAAAGTTTCACCTTTGATGTGAGTGGAGCAAGGACACGGACTTTCTGCAGCTAATGTCTGAAAAATAACTCCACACTTTCCGGCCCGTTTAATCTAAACAGCCATTGTCGAACAGCACAGAGAGTCCACGTGAAATGGGTTTTCAGAATGCAGCAAACGACTCGCCTGTTTTGGCAGCATGTGCACGCAGAGTCCTCTGACTCACCGTGAATCAGTTTCCCAAACGTTTCAGACTCTAACCCACTAAACAGCAGGAGAGGCTTTAAACGCCAAAACAGCTGGTTCAGTTCTACAAACGTTAATTAAAAAGAATAAAGAAATAACGTGAAGAGCCTTTATTTTTATCCACTGATGACTGCTGTGTCTTGTAGCAATTAAAAGAGAAATACTTTTATCAATATTTTAATGGTGTGAATGCTGATTCAGCATTCTCACTGTTGTTTTCATGTTTTTTTGTATTTTTTACAAAATATTTTTAATTTTTCATAATTTTTTCAATTTTTTGCTATAGCTACTTCTGCATTTGCTATTTTATATGTATATATTTTAAATGAATTCATAAACCAGAATGGCCTGCTCATTCAGGAGATGAGTGCTACGGCATTTCGTTTTTATAACTTTTAAAATTTTTCTAGTAATTGATTATCATTTATAAATATTTTTCCTTGAATAAATACATTGATATCTTTAAATCCTTCAAAAACTTTGTTCTCTTTTAAATCTGCTCTACATCGTCCTTACGCTACTTCTGATTTTTCGCTACCGTTCTGCTACTTTTAGCTTTTACCTATTCTTTTGCTACTTTTAGCTCAATGCTAAATATTACTATTTTCATATTTTAGTTAGCACTTTGCTACTTTTAGCCTCTAGCTACTAGTATTCAATCCAATTCAATTAAATTCAAAAATACTTAATTAATCCCACAGGGAAATTAAGTGTTGTTATAGCTCATCTTCCTGGTTTTATTCAAGAGTTGTTAGATGCTGATAGCTGTGGGCAGGAAGGATCTCCTGCAGCAAATCTGAAGAGTCTGGCCACAGATACCGATCCGTCCATCCAGATCCAGCTTGCTGTCAGATCCGGTGGGCCTCTCGGTCCTCCTGGGCAGCAGAACTGCGCAGGCAGATTTCCTCTCTGAGCTATGGTCACTACTCCCAGCAGTCTGCTGAGCTCCTCGTCGCCATGAACAGGCGGCTGTAGGTGCCGGGGGATGATCCTGGTCCTCCTGTTGTCACAAGCCGAGTTTCCCACCAGCTCCACGATCTCGAGCACCACTGCAAGGTTAACGGGAATTCGTCCACGGCACCTCCTTTTCAACTCATTTGAGATTTGGAGCTGTAGCTGAGATATTATTGAGCTTTAGAGATGTTAATCAGCCGCTCCTGGTTGTTAAGAAACACCTTGTTGCCATGGTTACGCATCATAACAAATGCCCCAAAGTAAAAAGGTTTCAGTAAAAAACCTTCCAGTTGCACAGCATCCGATACCAGAGTAAATAATCATTAAAAAAAAAGCGACTGACATCCAGAAAAAAGAGGAATTAAAGTTTTTAAAAGCAATAACTCAGAATGAATGTAGAGCTACTCCAACATGCAGCCACCCCGACAGGCGCAATTCTAGAACTATGCTACTTTTGCTACTTTTAGCGCAAAAATAGCAAAGCTCTTTGGTTGCGTTAAGCTAGCCTTTTGCTATTTTTAGTTTAATCTAGTCTATTAGGCTTCTACTTTTTTAGTTAAGCTAGCATTTAGGTTTTAGCTACTGTTGTGATACGTTTATATTTTAACTTACCTTTTGATTCTTTTAACTGATCTTTTGCAGCTTTTTTCCGCTAGTCTTTCACTAATTTGAGGTTTTATCTACTGTTTGCCACTTTTAGCTCGCATTTAGTTACTTTTAGCATGTTTCTAGTGTTTTGCTTATTTTAACTTTAACTTCTTAGCTTCTTTAGCAAATTTCAGCAAATTATATTCATTCAATTCATTCAACCTTTATTTAGACAGGTTAATCCCACTGAGCCTCGAGGACTCGTTTACAAGAGAGACAAAGATGACAGATGACAACAATGGACAACAGCAACAACAATAAACAATTATAAAAAGTCATACTATATATATATATATGTCATATATATTAAATAAGAACTTTACCAGCATAATATTCATTCAACCTTTATTTAGACAAGTTAATCCCACTGAGCCTCAAGGACTCATTTACAAGAGAGACCTGAATATGGAAGTAGATATTTTTCTATGTTAAAAACGTCAGAAGTTATATTTCTTATTATACTTGGCTTTATTAATTTTGATTTTAGATCTTCAGCTAAAAATGAGAACAGATGTGATTCACCTGGATTCATTGCATGAACCCAAAAGTCTATATTTACATACTTTGACTTACATAAAAAGATTATTTCTCTGCTTTCTTCAGATTTGAGTTTGGACGATGGTTCTGATCAGCTTGTTCACTGAAAGGAGTCCAGGGTTTGTTGTGAAAGCTCTAAAACTTTGTTTTGTGTTGGTGCATGAAGGTTACCTTGCACTGCAAACATGAGCTCTTTGGGGTCGACCACTGGCGTCCTTTTCTCGTGGCTCTTTTTGCCTCCTTTCCGTTGGCCCCTCCTCTTCTTGCTCTCGCCCCAGAGGTTGGAGCCGCCGTGCATGCTGGGAATGTTGAGAACCGCGATGCCTTCCAAAGAGATGCTGCTGAGGTCCAGAGTCATACCATCACACTGTTAAAGAAAAGGAAAGAAGACGTGGTTGATCGCAGTAATATACTCTTTCACTCTTTTTGACTCAGATCATTTAAAGATGTTTCGATCTTGTTGCGTTAGACTGAGCATCACGTGTTTTGAAGGTTAAACCAAAACTGTTGTAACGTCATTTCTCAACATAAGTTGTTCAGATTAAGACAAAATAAGTCCTGAGACACTTTCCAGTCATGAGTAATGATATCTGATGAATTATTGGTTTGAGTAGAGATATCAGTTCAACTTTATTTAGAAAAAACTCCAAAGGAATGAGACAAACCCATAACTGTTCACATCTCTGTCAACTCCACAGCTTCGTAAAAGCATATTTATCTGAAGAATGCCCGTTCCACCCTGCCTTCATCTCAATACTCGCATCTCTCTCATATTTCAGTTCTTTAAGGAGCGTTAATTGATGAAGACCTCTGCGCTGCGTGGAGAGCTCCGAGAAGGTGGAAGATGAATTGTATTGACAACGGCTTCATTATCACTCAATATCACACGCAGAGGGGTCACGTTGGGCTAATTACCTGAATGGTGAACTGTGGATCTATGAGAGGCGGGTGGGGAGTTGCAGAGGTACTTCGCTCATCAACACTTAATCTAAATCTGAAACTAGCATATTTATGGAACACGGGATGACCAGAATGTTTCTTAGCTGAACAATCATTCTCACCTCCAGGCTGGTATCATGCTCTCGGTAACGCAGAGGATAAATGAGATTTTCACTTGTAAGAGTTCATAAAAGGATGAGACCTAAATGGATTTGCTTTAAAAATAAACTTCTCTCTTTCGCTTTTGTTCCTTTTCCAGTATGGCTCTCCACAAACAGAACGGTTTGATTTACCTCCACCTCCAAGAAGTCATGGAGCTTCTTGCACGTGGCCGAAAAGGTCTCCGACGTGCCGAACTCAAAGTACCACAGCTTGTTCTTTGTTCTGGGGGAAAAATGAAAAAGACAAAAGAAACTGCAAAGGGAGCAAGAAAAAAGGGTTTCTTCACATCGAAATCTAAAGTTTTGTCTCTCATCTTCTTTACGCTGAGCTTTAAATGAAACACGCGGGGCTGCGCAAAAACAGTTTGATTCCCACTTTCCACACCTTTTAAAAACACACCTGGTCATTAATCCAAAGATGCATAATGTGTTTCATTAATTACACATTGAGTCATGATGATTAACTCTAAACGCAGCTAGGAAGGTTTCTGGGGGGGCGCACAGTGAGGCCACTGGCTCAACATGAAAGATGGAGGGAGGAGCGTCGGAGGGTAATCTACCTGCCCCTGCAATTAACTGAGGACTGGGGTGCTGCTCCTCGGGCTTCCTGCAGCACACACTCCCAAACACCGGTGCTGATGATCAATGGCCTCTCAGGGCCGAGTCGCCATCTGTGCACGCTGCCACGCCGCATGAGGTGCTCATCACAACACCGGTGAGATGTCACCATATTATGTTAGAGTACTTGGATTTGTTTGTTGTTGTACATAAATTTACATCTGCACATGTAGGTGCCAACCCATCCATCCATCCATCCATCAGTTGTTTCCACCTGCTTGATCCTGGGCAGGTCATGGGGAGCTGGTGACTACCCCCAACGCTCACTGAAGGACACCTTGGACGGGTCAACCAGTCCATCACAGGTCCAAATACAGACAATCACTCACACACATTCATCCAAGAACAATTTAGAGTTAACCTGCACGTTTTTGGACCTACATATTTTTGGCTGCAGGTGGAAACCAGAGTCCTCCCTGAAAACCCACTCATGCATAGGAAGAACATGCAAAGTCCACAACGAGAAGCCCCGGCCAAGAGTGAAACCTTCCTGCTGCAGGGAAACCGAGTTCGCAAACGCAACCTTCAGAAACAAAAATAAAACCACGGTGCGATGAGAAAAAAGTGAATTTTAGCCTGGTCCAACAAAGTTCAGTCAGATCCTCTGGACGGTTTCTTCTTGTTGAAATGTTTCATATTTCATCCAAAGGACTTCATCAGTCCGAGGAGCCAAAACAAACTCAGTCTTATAAATAGCACCTTCACAACCAGAAACCGTCCAGAGGACCTGCCTGAACTTTGTTGGATTTTCTACCTGGATTATGGAGCATGAACTTTGATGTTTTGAACCACTTTGGCCATGACTGCCTCAGACGAGTCGGAGGGGGAGAGGTCGGACTCCAGAAACCATCTGAGCACCATCAAACTGGTTGACCCACTATGTGAAGGTGCTATTCATAAGACTGAGTTTGTTTTGGCTCCTCTGACTGATGAAGTCCTTTGGATGAAAGATGAAATGTTTCAACACAAAGAAACCGTCCAGAGGACCTGACTGAACTTTGTTGGATTTTCTACCTGGATTATGGAGCATGAACTTTGATATTTTAGCTTAGCTTCTTTTAACTTAACTAAAGAATTTTGTCAAATTAAAGGTAAAAGCAACTAACCATGACTTAACTTTTATCAAGACATGAATGCTTTCCCACAGATCAACTACACACATTTAGGCCTTTATGGTAGACTTCAAACATTAGACCGTACATATCCAGGCCTCTGATCCTCAACAAATTTGTCTTGAAACAAACAAACAAACACACAAATTATGGCCATGATTCTCAACTGGAACACGACTGGAATGATGCTTCCTTTGGGTCACGGACGAGTCTCTGCCTCAAGTTGAGGAGTTCAAGCATTTCAAGGTCTTGTTCACTTCTTCATGAGGTGACAGCCTCGGCCTTACAGACAGAGGGAGGAGTCGCTGCTCCTCGTCAGCTGAGGTTCTTGGAGCATTTGAAGGAGGCCTTCTGGGCACCTTCCTCTGGAGGACTTTTGGATACACCACACTGGGAGAAGATCCCAGGGCAAACCCAGAACTCTTTGGAAAGGATCGTACATCCTGTTTGGTCTAGAAACACCTCGATCTCCCCCAGGAGGAGAGCACAAGTTGTCTGAGTTGTCCTCGTGGACATGTTGCCTTCATGACCACAGAAAAGCAGCAGAAAATGGATGGATGGAGGAAGGTGGTGAACTGTATCGTAGCTGAGGATTTGATAGGATCAGTTGGATTTTGTGTGTGCAGTTTAAACTTTGTTATTTCGTTGATTTACAGGAAGCAGAGTTTTGATTTTGGGTCTAGATGTTTCTGCAGGGAATCTTCACACATGAAGTTCTCAACAGCAGATTCTGTGTCGGATCAGAAGCAGGAGAATGGTTTTACAATGACCTGATGTTGGGCTCAATGCTTTCCAGAGATTCATTTTCATTTATATGTTTTATTGATACAAAGCTGATTGGTGTTATCTGTATTTTTACACAGATTGAAGATGGAGTTTGATTTTCCCTTTTTTTTTTTTACAAAACGCACACCAGCACATAATCCATCTTGAAGATAAAAGGCAACAGAAAGCCTACAACAGTGCTGACACACAGAGCTGAGTCCAGTAAAAAATGGTTGTCTCTAGTTGGAATCAGAGCCCTACAAGAGGAACGTATTAGTATAAGCAGAGTAACAATTACTGAATTATTGATTTCCTCATTAGGACTTTTGTCAGGACCATTTAGCCACTTTATGAATGAGCTTTCATTAGGGTCCTTGCAAGGTAGCCCGGCTCACAGTTGATTTATAACGTGAAACACGGTCAATAGCAGAGGGACGGAGGTAAACACAGGGGCTCAAAAGAAAGAAGATGATGACCATCATCATCATCATCCTCTAATCTCAGGCATCATCATGGAAAACCAGCAGAAAACAGCTCTGCAGTTTGCAAACAAACAAATGAAGGCGGCTGCTCTGAGAAACATTCAAAGTCTGTGGCTCGTGAAAGGGTTGGGGGGTCAGTACAAGCACAGTTTGGCTTCCTTTCAACTCAACCTGCAGCTTTTTAGAAACTAATGTTAAAAATTTGGTAGAGATAAGAGATTGGATTGACTTAAAAAGTTAAAGTTTGAGGCTGCAGCAGAAGGATGAGAAGAATCTACGGAGAACACGGACGTTAAAGTGTCAGAAGGTGCCAGTTCAGGTCTTATACCAACAGTCTGTCTGAAGTAAACCAGGATTATGGTGGTGTTTGCTGCCAAAGGCCTGTGAGCACCTGTGTGTATTCATTTGCCTGTTAGCAAAATATCTCAGGAACAAGTTTTAATAAACCTTCAGATGTAGAAGTACAACTGATTTTATTCTGGTGTCAACACAATTCAAGATGGCCACCACAGCTAAACAACCTCAACTTACAAAAGAAGCCAAAAGCTCAGTGAACTGTACAAACATGGAGCTAACATCTGCTGTGTGGTCGCTCAGAGTCGGGAACTCAGTCATGAACTCAGAGTCATGAACTCAGAGTCATGCACTCAAGAGTCGTGAACTCAGAGTCGTGAACTCAGAGTCATGAACTCAGAGTCGTGAACTCAGAGTCGTGAAC